CCTCATCTTTCTCCCGCGGAGCGGCTGGTAGTTTCGAACCGCTGACCTTAAGGTTCGCAGCCCGATTCGTAACCACTACGCTACCAGAGCACCTATATATGGTATATATTGGCTCATTGAGGCATCTTCAGCACCGAGGACAGGGCCTTGCAGGCTCCTGAAAGGAATCCCAGTACATTTCCCTGTTCATTTATGTGTCCCTGGAACCTAACTTGGTGCTGTGTGCATAAAAAACCACTCTTTCAATGAAGGGAAAGGTAATAGTGGAGGAAAAAGAGGGGAGTGGGAATACTATCGAAGCACAAGAGAGTTGGGGGAAGGCTTTAGCAGGTGGTACCTTGAGGGTGGTGCATGCCTTGACGGTGGCCGCTAGGGAGTTACAGTCTCGGTAGGTGAAGAGGAAAAGGTTCCACTCGAAGTTCATGCCACAGTCCTTGACACCATACACCAGGTCAAGCTCCTCTAAGTGTTTCAGACCAGCTACCAGGTCACGCAGCTGGTAGTGGTCGGTGGCAGACTCCTCCATCTCTCCCTCACTGCCAGAGTCTGACTGGTCCCCGTCCCGGGGTGGGGGCGGGAACCGAACAGGCGGAAGGAACTGATCCACTTGGATCCTGCGCACGTAGTTCCTGCAGAGCGGCAGCAAGTCAAGGATGATGGCGGGGTCTGTGGTGCCAGGAATGAAGTGCTTTAGCAGATTCTCCAGGTGCCGCTCGAAGAACATGCGCTTCCAGCTGCCGCCATGCTTAGCCACGTGGCACATGGGCCAGCGCTGCGTGCAGCAGCGGCGCCAATAGTTCTCATTCTCGATCAGGTTGGCAGTCACAGCCACCGGCAGGTCTGGGGAAAGGTGTTCCAGGACCTTCTGCTGGTGCTCAGGGAGCAGCTGCTTCAGGATAGGGTTGTCTTTGAGAACAGAGGAAGGAAAGGCAGGGGTCAGTGTTGGGGCTAACAGAACATGCTACCCTGGGCTGAGCCACTGAGGAAAGAGAAGGCCTCCCTCTGCCTTCAGGGAAGACAGATGCTGCCCTCAGGGAGGTTTCGTCTGATGAGGGAGACACAGCTCTTGACCTTGGGGTGCTCCCTGCCTGAAGAGGCCCCTCAGCACTGGTCTTGGAGACCTACCACACCGAGGAGGAATCTCAGGACTATCCCTCAATTATCACCCAGTCTGAAGATGGAGACAATCCCTGGCTTCAGAGGACCCCCCATCTGATTTGATAAATTCATTTCAAAACAATTTTTTTTTCAGCATCTACTATGTGCCGATCATTGTTATAGTTCTGGGGCTATAACAGTGAGCTGCACAGAAGTTCCTCCCTTTTGGAGTTGATATTCTGCTGAGGGGAGACAGATGATAAAAAAGTAGCAGACAAATAGATCCAAGGTCAGGTGGTGGTTAGTACAGTAGGCAAAATGATGGCCCTGTCTTCAAATAGCTCACTGTCTGGTTAGTGAGACTGGCAACTCACCTACTAGAAAGGATTAACAGTTACATTTATGTAACACTGACATTCCATACACCACTGACTCATAAAAATGTTGTTGTTGTTGTTAAGTACCATGTAGTCTTAGCGCCCCCCTACCACCGACTTTGCAATTCAAAGTGGTTCAGTGCTTATCCTATAGCGCCACACCACGACTCCATCAGAATGTTGTTGTTGTTAAGTGCCGTAGAGTCAGTTCTGACTCATAGCAACCCTGTATAGGACTTCTGAGAAGCAGCTGGTGAGTTTGAACCACTGACCTTGAAGTTCAAACTGACCTAATGATTGAGTAAGGAGCTCTGGTAGCATAGTGGTTATGAATTGGGCTGCAAACCTCAAGGTCGGCAGTTCGAAACTACCAGCTATTCTGCAGGAGAAAGATGAGGCTTTCTGCTCCCGTAAAGATTTACAGCCTTGAAAACCATATACAGGGTCGCTATGAGTTGGAACCGACTCCATGGCACATGGCACATAACAACAACAACGATTGAGTGCTTATCATGCAGCGCCACACCAGACTGGAGGGGGCTTAACCAGGGAGGACTTTCTAGAGGCAGAAGACTGGATGGTTTAGCCTGCATGGAAGCAAAGTGTCAAGTAGGGATGAGGACTGAGGTGGCCGTGGCTCCAGGCAGTTTTCAACCATGCTGCCAACCCCTGTCCTCTCTCCCTCCTTCCCAAGACAGGAGCAGGCTCACTCTGGAAGTTCTTGACAATGTGCTGAATGCAGAGCTCTGTGAGCAGGGGCACAATGGCCAATGACCACTCAGCGTCCTCAGCAATGATCCGGCGCATCCGTTGTATATTGGCTGTGTTCGGGCCCTTGACCTTAACGGGAGGTGTCATGACTGTGGCCTTCATGGGCTGTGGGACCAAGTCTTGGCCTGCCATGGAGGACCGGCTCTGGTTTGCGTTGGAGGGCCGGCTGAAGATCGACATTGGCAGTGGTAGTAAGTTGTCCTGCATGGTGGGGGCTGGCAGTAGCAGGTCCCGGATGGATGCTGGTGGGGACCTGGATCAAGAGGAAGTGGGTAAAGGTGTTACTTTGGAAGATCTCAGTGGTTATTTATCAAGAGAGGCAGCATAGGATGGTACTTAGGATTAGTCCCAGAGTGCCATGAATCCAGGTTCAGATGCCACTGACTAGTTGTGTGGCCTTGGACAAGTTACTGAACCTCTCTGAATCTCAAAGGACTACTGAAGTTACAAATATGATTATTAACCCACTGCCAGCGAGTCGATTCTGACACATAGCAACCCTATTTCCAAGACTGTAAATCTTTATGGGAGCAGAAAATCTCATCTTTCTCTCAAGGGTTTGAACTGCCAGCCTTGTGGTTAGCAGTTGAGTACTTATCCTAGAACAAAACCAGGACATGTATATGATTATTAGGAGAAGTGAATAAAAGAATGCATTCAAAAGGGGCATACTATATTGTCTGACACAGAAACTGCATAGCCAGGAGCAGCTCCAAAATCTAAGATTAAAAATAGCTATTCAGCACTATCAGCAATTCCTTTATCCCAATATTTTTTAGGTCTTGGTGCATATTAACTCAATACACACAAGAGCCACTCATACAAGGGGGCTTCAAAAAGTTCATGGAAAAAAATGAATGAAACGATAATGGAATTTTCCCACCAACTTTTTGAAGTCACCTTCATATTGTTCCCATTTTTCAGATGGGAAATGGAAGTGCACAGAAGTTAGTTGACTTGCTCAATGTCACATGATGACAAGCTTGCTTTTGAACCAACTCTATCAAGTTCCTATGCGAATCCTAGGCTATCCTGCCCCTCTGAAGGTGAGGGATGTGAGATGTGTAAGAGATCACTACTAGTTGCCACCAAGATGATTCTGACTCAGCGACTCGTGTGTGTTAGAGAACTGTGCTCCATAGATTTTTCAATGGCTGGTTTTTTGAAGTAGTAGCTTGTCAAGTCTGTCTTCTGAGGTTCTTCCAGGTGGACTCAAATCTCCAACCTTCTGGTTAGCAGACAAGCATGTAACAGTTTGCACCACCCAGGGACTCCTAAGGTATAATAAAGGACCATTTCATTCAGCACAGCTCCCTGTACCACGTATGCCTGACCCAGAGGATGGGATAGAGGACAGCACTCACCAACAGAAATAGAATGCAAACCAAAATGCAAGTTACGTGTTTTTTAAATTTTCAAATCTAAAACCAAACCAAACTCATTGCCACCAAGTTGATTTGGATTCATATTGACCCGAATGGACAGAGTAGAGCGCCTCATATTATTGTTAAGTGCAGTTGAGTCTGTTCTGACTCATAGTGACCCTGTATAGGGTTTCTGAGAAGCTACTGGAGGGTTTGAACTACCAGTCATTGTGGTTAGCAATCCAGTGCTTATCCTACATCATCACACCAGGACTACCTCTAGGGTTTTCAAAACCGTAATTTTTATGGAAGCAGGTTGCCACATCTTTTTTTCCCAGAATGACTGATGGGTTCAAACTAATGACCTGTTTGTTAGTAGGTGAGTGCTTCAGTGCTATACCACTAAAATGCCTTAAATTTTCTATGAGGCACATTTTAAAGAGTAAAAGCAAACAGGTGAAATCAATTTTATATTTAACCCAATGTAGAGAAAAAGAGGAAGACCCCAGCGAGATGGATTGGCAAAGTGGCAGCATCAATGGGCTCAAGCGTGGCAAAGATAGTGAGGTTGGCCCACGGTTGACCAGTGTTTTGTTTTGCTGTGCATAAGGTCGCTATGAGTCGGTACCGACTCAATGGCACCTAACAACAACAACACACCCAAATATTATTAAATATGCAATCAGTATAAAGTTATTTATGAAGTATTTTATAGTCCATTTTTTATACAAAGTCTTCTAAATCTGATAAGTTCAATAGCCACAAGTGGCTAAGCCCACTGCCACTGAGTCAATTCTAACTCATAGAGACCCTATATAGGGTTTCCAAGACTGTCGATCTTTATGGGAGCAAACAGCCTCATCTTTCTCCCCAGGAGCTAGCAGCTGGTGGGTTTGAGCCACTGATCTTGCAGCTAGCTGCCCAATGCCTAACCCATTTTGGACAGTGAAGACTATAAGAAAGGAGAGGGGGAACTGAACTCAAGTCCTTTCCAAGGGGTCAGCACCTTCTTTTTCAACCTTTGAGGGCTCCAGTTCCACACCCCTCCCCTCCAGTCTCTCATCCCAGTCTTCCTTTCAGTTCTCCCAGCCTCCTGGCATTCCAGAAGGCAGCGGGCAGGCGTGGGAGGCAAGAAGGGAGCTAAATCCGGGACTGAAGACAGAAAACAGAAGATGTGCTTGGGCTGGGGAACCCCCCCATCTGCCCATCCCTGTCCCCTCCCTGAGATCTGCAGGCAGAAATGGGACTGCTTTGCCTTCAGCTCCTCCTTTGGTCAGTTTTCCCCACTCTGCCTCCATGTACTGTATAGTGGCCAGTGGGAAGGTACATTCTGAACCAGTAAAGTCATCCTTGGCAGAGGGAGGGGACCATATGGTGCTCCCCAGCCAGCCAGGCATCTCGAGGAAGATGAGCCTGGCTGAGAGAGAGAAACAGTGAGAAGCAAAGAAGAGATTTGCCTCTGGGCAAGGGTGGGGGCAGTGTAGGGAAGATATGTATGTATTGTGACACTCCTTATGCAAATCCAATGCAAATGCACAAACAGATTGTGTCCAGAATTGTGGAATAGCCAGATGGTGCTTTTTGACTAGTGGCCCCTTACAGGGTGGGGCTGGCTTTTCCAGTTACATGCCTTGTGACCTTGACCAAGTTACTTAACCTAGCAACTTCAGTTTCCTTAGCTACAAAAATGGGAGCTTTCCCTATGAGGGCTGCTGTGGAGGGTGTCCTGAGATAGGGTCTTCTGATGGGTGTGTGGAGGATGAAAACGGGGCAGGGGTCTTGGGCTCAAGGTCTTCATTCTGAGTGCTGACCTGAGATGGTCACATTGAGAAGGTACAAGGTTTCTGAGGACCTGGCCTGTCTCCAGGGGCGGTGTGATGGGTATGGTGGCAGTGGTAGATTGGGAGTTGGGTAACAGCAGAGGGGACCCACAGTCTGGTGTGTCAGCCCCAGCATCCTGGGCCCATCCTTGCTATCTCCAAGATTCTGACCTAATGCATTCTGGGGGTTCTTTTCAATCTCAGATGTGACCCAGAGTCAGGATACCCAGTGGGCCACATCCAGGCAGCAGGTTTGGGCTTGGCAGGGAAGCATTTCTCATAATGTCACCCAGCTTCACCACCATATACCACAGCGGGTGGACCCTGCTCCTTGTGGAGGCTGTGACTTGTGAAACCCCACCTGGGGCTAGGCTGGTGGGCGCCTTTTGGAATGGAGCACTTGAGTCATACTGCCCAGTGCCTTTCATACCCCATAGTTCTTTCTAAGGTCTGGTCCTAACTGCGCTTGCTTGCAGTTGTTCAGTTTCTGCAGGACCTGTCCTGGGGTGTGCTCCAGGACTCCCAAAGGAAAGAGAAGAACTTGGTTCCTCGTGCCTGCCATGTAGAACCTCTGCTACCCTTCTGCTTTTTACAGAAACATCAATAATAAAACATTTTTCAGGCAAATGTTGAAAACATGGAACTTCAAAATAAGGTCTAAGTGGATAAGTTTCCACTTAATCATTTCTTATTTGCTTTTTAAACAAATAGATATTACACAAATATTTTTGACAAGTAAATGACTAGACCCTGGGAGATAGCTTATCCTAATAAAGATTTTAGTTCCAAATGTTAAAAAAAAAAAAATCCATTTTTAAAAACCAATAAAATATAAAACAAAGTACTATTTAAAAGCAGAGTGACCAAAATTAAGTGCCTGCCTTTCAATGGCTAATTTTATTCCCACCTCTCACAAGCCACTCTCTGGGCTCCCCTTCGATCTCTCTGATCATTCTTTTTCAACAAGTCTCCATCCCAGGTTCCTCTCACTCTGTGTAGGCTTCAAATGTTGCAATGTCTAAGAGCTCTTTCATGGTTTCCCACCACCCTCCACATCTAATTACTGTTGAATCTCTTTAGCTCGGCTTCCCACCCTGGCAACCCCTCTTCTCCCTCCGTGCTGCTTCCTTGGTGAAGGGCCTCATTGCCGGGATTATGGCTCCAGCCACCCAGCACCTGGTCTCTGGCATCCAGTCTAGCCCTCTCTCATCTAGCCTTCAGACCACAGCCATAGTGGATCTGTGTGGAAACCCTTCACCACTCACTGATCAAGCCCAGCTTTCTTAACCAGACACTCTTTGAAATCAATGCCTTCCCACACCCAGACACTGAAGGGTATTTCACACACCCAGCCTTTGTTCAGACACCTGAGTTGTACCAGTGGTTTGCTCTTGGCTGCTAACTTGAAAGTTGACAGGTTGAACTTGCCTAGTAGTTCCATGGAAGAAAGGCCTGGTGAACTGCTTTCCATAAACATCATAGCTCTACTTTACAGCACATGAGGTCACTATGAGTTAGGAACCTACTGACGACAACAGCTAATAGAAGAATAAGAAACTTTTGTTCAAACTGTTCTTTATGCCTGTCTTTGTCTTAGCCTGGGAAAGGGACAGTCATTGGTCTTTCAAGTCTAAGGTCAAGTACCATCTCTTCTCAGAAGCCTTTCAGCCTTTTTTGCCTTCCCTCCAACAACCTTTCTCTTTGCTAAACCAACCCCTACCCCAGCACAAGTGTCACTTTAACCTCCAAGGACCCAAAGAGGGCACTCCCAGAAGCACTGGAGTGGTTACCTTCCTCTCTGGAACCTTCTCTCCCTGAGGACCTAAGGGGCAAATGGAGAGTCTGGGTTTGAAGACTACAGCTGTCCCATTCAGGCCAAACATCATATCAGGCCATAACTCAA